AAATTGTGATACGGTTTGTAAAGAACCACTCGAAATGCAAATCTGACGCCGGGGACCAGTTCCGATTACAATACTGTGTACTTGAGCATGTGTCGGTTCAGCAACCATCGCACCTCTTCAAAGGTCAAATGCAACTACATGTACATGTATGTGTTACCGCTGTGCACTTGTGGCTGGATTTCACTCAGTGCAATAAAGAGAGCTGCTTGTTACAGCTGCCTATTGTCCATGTAAATCGTCATAGTCGAAGAACTGAGGCGTTCCGTTTTTCATGGCTCATGTTCGCTTAGCTTCCCATCCAATTGATCCTTGAATCTTTAGAGCCACGCAAAGTTTGTGGTATATTGTTATACGTTCTTGAATCGTGGTTTGATCGTGTTGCCGAATGGTCTTGCCAGTATCGTCATCCACATATTCATCCGCCAACATCCTTCATAGCTGAGACTTTCAGCTCGTGTTTGTCTTGGTTGCGCTCACCTTCCCCTCCTATGTTATCACTATAGCTTGTTGTTGTTGTTGATTTCTATTTTACTTCGCAAGGCCAAACGGGCAATGGTGCCCAATTCTATGGAAGCGAATTTCAAAAGGGAGAGAGCTACGGGGGGGGAGAGAGAGAGAGAGAGAGAGAGAGAGAGAGAGAGAGAGAGAGAGAGAGAGAGAGAGAGAGAGAGAGAGAGAGAGAGAGAGAGAGAGAGAGAGAGGGAAGGAGGGAGGGAGGGAGATGATAAGCATTTTTTGCAGCGTCAACAGAGCGATTTTGCAGTGTCACTAGAGCGATTTTGAAGCGTCAGCAGAGGGAACACAAAGAGTTCATAGGCGCACAAGCACGCAGAGAAGAGTAAATGACGTGGTGTGTGGACGAGAAAAGTCAGACAGAGCATTCATTGCAAGGTGTAGGGGATGGAGGCAAGCTTAAATTTCTGGGCAGCCTTGATCTCCCTTATACTCCTTTGGAGAGCGTTCCAGGCCAAGGCTGCCTGAAAGGCCAGGCGAGATCTGCCGGCTTCTGACTGTGCCGAGGGGACAGTGAGGCTCCTGGAAACCTGGTGCCGGGTGGTGCTGCCAGCTGATGGTGAGAATAGGTCCTGGAGGACACTGCTGGCTTTCCCATTGACACAGCGCCACACCAGGACGAGCCGCTTCTGGGCGTAGCACTCGCGAACTCTGTACAGGGACATCCGTTCGAGCAGAGGCTGGGCCGAGGTGTGAGGTGGCAAACTGTATACCGCTCTCGCCGCTCGGTTCTGCAGGAAGGCGATCAAGCTGCGAAACCTTGAGGGAGGAAGAGAAGGCGTTAGACCCATATAGGAGGTCAGGCATGATGACTGACCTCACATACTGGATGCGACTACTGAGGCTCTAGAACCTTTCAAGTTGGAAGGCTGTTGGAGTGCGCATCCACGACGTGCTAGAGCTGATAGCCAGTTACGGTAGCTGTAGAACGTCAGTGCTGTCGGTCAGCGTCGTGCAATGTTATCGCATGAGCTGATTGTCAAGTAACTGGTGGTGTTAGTGGACATTATAGCGTAACTTGTAGTTCCTGGGTCCCTTTCTTTACCATAATTAATCAATGGCTCTCCATCCGAGTCGATCAGTAATTACTGCTCAGGGTATCCTAGAGAGATCCCTACCATCACGTACATGTACAGTGAAACCTGTCTAAGGCGACCGCTCAAGGGACCTTCAAAACCTGGTCTCTGTTACCAGGCGGTCTCCTTATCCAGGGTCATTTGACTGGAAATAGCATTCCTTGGTGCTGATTTCAGTGGTCTTCTAGGACAGGTGGTCGCCTTATCCGAGTGGTCGCCTTGACAGGTTTTAGTGTAGTACACTATGCCTTGTACCTACACTTGTACCTTGTCACTGCCAAAACTGGTCACCTGCGTGTACATGTATGTCTCCCCGAACGAGGGGAGAAAGAAAAAGCAATCTTGGAAAGATGGCTCAATTGCCTGTCGAACCAGCCTACGCCCAACACCCCTGCCATCTCCATACTCTGGATGCACTTGGAAAATGATCCCCATAATTATCATGGGCTCACCACACCTCAGTGATTGCGCTAAGGCAAGGTGCGGAAAAGGGGTCGCCCGCATTAGCGTGTCTTGTCCTGGGATCCAAATACATTTTCCCCTGTCTCTAGGTGATACTTGATTGTGGGTGGCTTAATCAGAGGTCTTGTGTGGTAGCTAAGCTTAACTAGCGCCACCAGACAAGAGTTAAGGGGGCACATCACCCAAAAATTTCATATGGCATTCAATTGACCGTAACTTTGGTGTTTCTCAGTGGATTTGAGTGAAATTTTGACCACACACTCCTGCCACTATGCTGGCCCTCAGGACATGATTTACAAGTTCTTGCGTCTCACTGACAGGCTTTCCAGGCCGGAAAAACTCAAATTTCCGGCATAGTGCTACGGTGTGCGAGCCACCCAGGAGCCAAACAAATGCATTTACATTTTTTTCACATTTTCGTGCCCATTCTGTCCGTGCGCGGGACCCAAACCTAAAACAAGTCCAGAAGCAGCCATGGGTGGTGGGGTAGGGCCCCTCAACGTGGCCCTGGAATCTGTCACAACGGAACGAGTGGGCGTTCTTTCACGGACTCCCACAGACCCAAGGCAATTTTTGAATTTTTTTAGGTTTGGCACGTGCTACGAGGTCGTACCTTTGATACAACATCCAGTGCTGGGACCTCCACAGCAAGCCATTTCCACAGCGCTGCAAACCAAATCCAGGATGCCCTCAGAAACCGGCAAAGACTGCCACTCACGTTTCACTACTGCCTAGTACTGAATCCTACCTGACTTCTTGACACGACTCAAACTTGCCAAAGTCACTAAATCAACGTCAACTACAATAATCAAGCCACATATCTGCAACGTCACGAGGGTGCTGGCAAAAGTCCTGCTGCACGGCGGCGGGCTTCGCCCGCCGCCGTGCAGCCCAATACGTGGTTTTTTAACGTGATTTTTTGGACTTTTTTGGACTTGGGGCAAAATTCTGCACACTTTCGCGTGTTTCCATAATACGACAAGTTGCGCACGGTCTGCTCACATTCTAATACAGTGCTGCCAACAAATGACAGCATGCAACATAAAAATCTTTCCTTGCAAGGGCACATTTTCGGCCATAACTCTTGAACGGCTGGTCAGATAGGGACACAGTTTTCAGAGAATTTGCAGCTATTCATGCTCTTTCAACTGACGTAGCACTCAATATGAATTTACAAATTCGATTTTTCAGCGAATTTTTGGGTGATGTGCCCCCTTAAGGGGTATCAATTCAGCACAGAAAATTAATTTAAAATATTGTTATGATGATCGTGTGGATGGTCACTTGTTTAGGGGAGCTATAGCAACCCCTTTCCTTTCTGTTTTTTTTTTCTCTCTTTTTTCTTCTCCTGGCCGATAATCTGGCTTGAGCTGTCCCTTTGTGTTTGTTTTGTACTACCTACTGTATGCCCAGCATAAGCGTGTGTGTGGGCTGAGCAAGTGGCTACGACACATGCTTGGCTGGCGCGGCCAGGGGAATGCCAATAAAAATAATAATTCGCACAAAGTGTACATGGAGTAGGCATTGGCGGACTATGCTCGGCCAATCGTCAAAATAATGATGCTTTTGATTATGCCACAATTATGCCAACAAATAATTATGCTGAATTATGCTCCGTTCCACTATGTATTCACGCTGCACATAGAGGATTGAGAAACCACGCATACACACACGGCCATGCCCTAAGCATAGGGTCCAGCGGATTCTGCCGGCAGAAAAATTGGCAGAATTCGGTACTTTTTCTGGTAAGTTTCATGCATGTTTGGTATGTGGATAAAGAAATGGAGCAGAATTCGAGGAATTGCCCGCCATAAGGTTTGTATGGTTCTGCCAATTTCACTGCTTGTCGAGCAGAATCTGCCACCTTTTCGAGCAGAATCCGCCGGTCCCTACCGAAGCATAATTTTTGTCTAAACCGAAAGATTACGCCGACCTTACACGTTGGAATCTGTATAATATTATTATGCCGGAGCATAATATTTTGACGAAATCCCAAGAATATGCCAAAATAATATTATGCCGGCACAATCCGCCAGGGATTATGACAAGGAGTCGTAACTGGGGTATTTAGAAGAAAAAAACATCTGCAGGCTTTCTGACAAAGCTGTATTATGCCCCTAAGCATAATTTTTGTCTAAACCGAAAGATTAAGCCGACCTTACACGTTGGAATCCGTATAATGCCGGAGCATAATTTTTTGACGAAATCCCAAGATTATGCCAAATATTATGCCGGCATAATCCGCTAAGGGCTAACATGGAGATTGTGAGAGAATGTAGAAGTCGAAGGGGTGAATTTGTGAACAGTAGCCAGGACGTGATGATAATCTGTCCCGCAGACCTCAATAATAAAACACATACGTATCTAATATTGACTGAGTACGAGGTCAATATAGGAAATAAAAGCCGAGTAAAAGACCGAGGCGAAGCCGAGGTCTTTTACGAGGTTTTTATTTCCTATACTGACCAAGTACGAAGTCAATATTAGATTTATCACGACAAACAGTCCGTATTTCAAATTCCAGAACGATAACCTCATGAATCCCGGTTTTATGATTGCACAACCGTTGCACCACCACCTACTCATGCAGTGACAATGCTGCACTAGGCACCGTTCAACTGCGCAACCCCAGTCAAATATAAGCAGTCAATATAGCCCTAAGGAGTGAAATATGCAGGAATATTTGACTGCTTAGGTATGGCAAAAATCTATGCGAGTCAATACTAAGGGAGTGATAACGGTAATTATTATTTACACAACCTACACATTCCCGCCCGGCTGAGCATGCAGCCTGCAACCCTACCTCTAGCTCTGTCACGTGTAGTCGGTGTGCTTGCATCCACTTGCCAAAATCCGCGTCAAGTGCATCGGCTAAGAATAAATTCTGTCAAAAGGTTTCAAAGGGTTAGCAAGAACTGCAGCACCCGTCAAGGATAATCGTATCACGCCGCAGCGATGAATCTAGTGGAATGCGAGTACTTTCGGCCGTTTCGTGCAATGATCTTGACATATGCCCGTCATTTTGATTTCTTGCACGCCACCAGCATTCTGCTGCATTCTCCAAGCACATACTGGCTCACTCGGGTGAAATCAGAAGTCATGCTGCAGAACGGAGACTCGATCACTCGTTGGAGACGCGATTTGAACCTTTCAGTGAAGGGCCATTGATTTGCAAGAGATGTTGTCCAGTAGGAGCACGTCTTTCCATTCCTTGCTTGATCAGGTCGTCCTTGCTGAGCTTTGGCGAAAGCAGGTTCCACATCTAGTGCGGACTCCTGCTCTCTGAGAGTAGCCACCGGCCTTTGTCGTACGAGCAACATTCATAGGTAAGCATAGGAGAAGGATGAGCTTTGAAAATCCAAAGGAGCGAAAACGGGGTTCTGCAGAATTTGCATTGGAAACATGCTTTCATAGCTGCAGGTTGTCCACGTAGCGAGCTCAGCTGCAATGACAGTGTTGATGAGTGGTTGAAAATACTGCGTTTTCTTTGCTATCAGTGTCTGAGTATCAGCTGGGGGTGAAACAATTATACCGAATATTGGAGTACGGTACTCGCTCATTTTTTTTAAAGAATAATCGTACTCGGAATAAATCAGAGTACTCGTTCATACATAATTCATGCATTTACCACAGAAATCTACAGTTTCTGAGCAGCAGTCAGTAGATATTGATGTGCAGACTGTGTGGTGAGCCTTTGTTCATGAATACAGAGAGCCCAAATGACCCACCAACCAGTATCTGTATGCCTTAGAAAAGTGATCATCAATCGGTTCAACCAAGGTTGTATAATGTGATCTTGAGGCCCTTGGTGTGCAATGTTTAGGAGATGAAGAATACTCGAATACTCGATATTGGCTCAACATCCGAGTTTCAAACTCGAATATTCCATCGGAGAAAATCAGAGTACTCGAACTCGGGATTTCAGTGTCAACTTGCACCCCTACTTTCAGCACAGATCTCCATTCCTAGCACAGTCTCTAATGCTAGCACACTGTGTGCGCTTTTCGAAACATTATAAGCACATTCTCCATTATTAGCACGGTCTCCGTGGAATTCAGTATTGCGTGCACGGTATCTAGCATGTATTTCTACTTGCTCTGTATGGCGTTGTTGGTTGACAAAACATAAGTGCGGGTTCGAGTTGTGTATCCGTGATTTACTAGTACAGACAATCATAACGATTCCCTTGGGTGGCTGATAAGGAGTGTACCGAATATGTTGGAGCCCTTCTGAGCACATGCAGCGTATAGAAACTGTAGTGTTCGGCCAGAAAGCCACTTCGAAATTCATTACTGAACAAAGACAAGGACTGATTAACTTACCTGATTGGGCGCTTTCGATTACGCAGTCACACATTCTGGACCCAGGTTTGGAATGAACAGAATGAACGCTCTGCGGCCATGTAAAGCCTGGTTCACATTCTACGCAACACTGGTGGTACAGGGTGTAACGGCCAGTCAGGACGAATGGGGCGAGATGTAAAATCTTGTGCGATTCATAGCATGGCATGATGCAGTTGCGATGTTCAACGACGTTAGGGCCGGGCTCCAATGGAGCTCCGCGGCTCTTGGCTGCATGAAGCAGTGCAGCGCGGTTCCACTGACACTCACTATTCGCGGTTCCACTGACACCCACTTTTTTGATGACGTTTTACCTGCCTATGCACGCGCGCGCGGCGGCGAAATCAAAAACATCCTCGTGTTCTGGCCTGCGCAAACTTGCATGAAAAACAGTCATTTGAAAAATGGCATACCGTACGGGACTCTCACAGGGATTTGGTTCACAACACATTGGCCGCTACGGCGAAAGCGAAAATGCAGTGTGAGCGTCGAGCTTGAAACTTGCTGTAGTGTGACCAATAAAGTACGGTACGGTGAGCTATTTTTCCCAATACACTGTTATTCATGCAAGGGCATGCAGTGGCAACGCAGCCAATTTTCTCGGCGTTAGACGCTCAAATTTCCCACATTTCCGTCAGTTGACGTGGAAAACTAATGATTCTGACGCTGACACAGCATTTTTGCGGTAGTGTAACCAAGGGCTAAGGGCCGTGTTCCACTGCGGCTCCTCGGCTCCGCCTCACTTGGCTGCATGCAACTGAGCAGCGCTGCTCCACTGACACTGGCCATTCTCGGTACCGTGGTCGTGCTCCACATTTTTTAAGACATTTTACCTACCTGTGCGCGAGAAATCAAAAAATCTTCGTGTCCTGGCCTGTGCAACGATTTAAAATTACTGTAAAATCCATATATATAACGAAGTGCTAACTCTAACGAGTTAACGAGGAGAAATCTGTCGTTAAAATAGAAATCGTTATACAGAAATCGATACATATACTGTCCTATTGAGCGTTGAGAATGAGTGAGAATCGTTACCTTTGGTACACGTAAACTGGTCAATTTTGGGAAATCGTTATATATGCGCCTCGTTAGAATAATGGCTTTTACAGTAGAGTTTTAAAATTCTCGCATACAAAACAATGCGAAGTACGGGAAACAGGTCGAGCTGCAACCGCGACTCGCAGTTATTGGTCAAGAATCGTAGCCAAAGCTCGCGGTGAGCCGCGCCATAGCGGTACCAGCTCGAGCCACGGTCACTATGGCAATGTTGACGTTTCATGCTTAGGGTGATGTGCAGTGGAGCAGCGGAACCGCAGTACAATCCGGCCCTAAGACTCAACTTGTTTCCCATACTTTGCGTTAATTTATATGGGAGAATTTTATAAGTCAAATTTTAAATTATTGCGCAGGCTAGAGCACAAGGATTTTTTTGATTTCGAGCTCACGCGTGTAGAGGCAGGTAAAACGTCGTCAAAAAAAGTGGAGCACGACCGCAGTACCGCGGATGACGAGTGTCAGTGGAACCGCGCTGCGCCGGTGCATGCAGCCAAATGCCGCGGACCGCAGCGGATGCCGGCCCTAAGCCCGTCTACGGTTTGAAAAGTTGAACTGATGTATATCTTCCCGTCGTTTTACCGATCGGTATGGTTGTACGGTTGTGTTCCCATTCCTGGTATTCACATTGGACACCGTCTGACAGTCCCGTCGCTTCCCGTCGATCCTTACGACTTACCCCAGCGAATGTGAACTAGGCTTAAACGAATGACTACACGTAAAAATCGTAAAAAGGGGATCAAGTGGTATCCCGTACACCCTCGCCCTCACGTTGACCTAGCATGGCGTGTACATCGAAGGCGTCAATTCTTGCGGAATAATTAGCGCCCTCTCTTCAGAATTGAAGGAATTGATGGAACTGGATACCGTCGATTCTGCCGGCTGAATTTGTGTAATCGAACGGTGCATCCACCATAACCAATTCTAGAATTGACCGAAATGTGTGTAATCGAACGCGCCCATTGTGCATAGGGCATGAGCACAATTTGTTATGGTACAGAGGAGAGAGAGAGAGAGAGAGAGAGATAGAGATAGAGAGAGAGAGAGAGAGAGAGAGAGAGAGAGAGACGGTTTGTAGAGAGACAACACTACGACAAACACTTTACACTGAAGTGAAAATAAAGGAAACTTGTATCAACTCAGCGCTTGGGCTATTATCGTCGCCCCTCATTGGCCCAGGCTTGCTTAGGTATGGAGTACAGTTGGAACTTGGGAGAGTCCATAACGTATACATTTTAGTACGTTTTTGGAAAGCATGAAATGTCGGATTTTTTTCGTTTTACATTATACTTGGTGTAACTGGTGTGTTTACAGATTTGGCGGCTTATGGCAATGAGTATGAGCGAAGGAAGAAGGACTTTCCGAACACGTTGCCCAGAATTGCTTCTGTTGGTAATGCTACTGGTTGTAGTTAGTGATGCACTGAACTCGGACCAGTTTGTCGTCATCCATGACGTAAACTGCAGGTACAGGTACCGCTACGACACCAAGAATACGTGTGCTGGCCCTCGCTGCTGGATGGATCCAAGGCTTTTCCAAACACCCGGTAAAGTTTTGGATAAGACATGGCTTTCGCCAAAGTTTAATTGGTTATTGTTATTACACTGTTTGCTTTTCTACACAAGTGATTCACATTTGGCTAGCCCAGCACGGTGTAGTGGTCTGCATTTCTGTTCTTGTTTTGTTCGTCAGTACATGAACAGATCCTTTCCCCATTGCCTAAAAACGGTGCAAAATGCTCAAATAAAAGAATATTTGACGCTGATGGTGTTCACTGTTGTTTTGCATTACATCTTGCTGCAGACATTTCAGGAACGCCTCAACGTCAGAGGCTTTGCGTTGTCCGCGTGCCCGTCGGAGCGTATGACGTGGAGTTCTTTTTCCCACTGGCTGATGTAAAGTATCCGAGCTCAAACTGCACTTGGAGCGTGGTCAACAATCGTATCGGCATGTACAAGGCAAGTATGTCCCTACACATGTGCAGTTGCGTACAGGAAATTCCGAGCCAAAGTTTTTTTTTTTGTTCCCCGGACTTGCATGCCACTAGGACTCTCTGATTTGGACTCATCTTGCTGCACCTACAGGTGCAGAAGTGCAGTGACGTAATCAGACCTGTTTTGGGGGGTGGTGTAGGGGTGGAGAGGGGGGGGGGGGGGAGCGCAAGATTGGCACCTTTGAACCGGATTTCACCTGTTCAGCGAAGCTATTCTTTCTTGTTTCTTCTTTCCTTCAGACGTTGGGAAATGGTACGCGTCTAAACATCTCGGAGCAGCAAGACAAATTCCAATACCGCGAACCACCGCTGGGCAACGGTTCGGATCCCTGGTGTCTATCCCCCAGTCTGCCAGCAATCGCCGACCCCTACTCTGACAATTGTACGGTTAACATGTTCTTCTCCAGCATGAAGGACATCTACGAAGGTAACTGGCAGTTCATCGTGCAGCCAGCTGACGGAGCTGCCCCGGGCGCTGAGCCGGCCGTGCACCAGTTTCAGATAGAGAGTGTCCAGTGGACGTGCGGTGTGTGCTTTGGTGAAAATAGCCAGTGCAGAACGCTCACATACACTGACGTCTACCCACCGCAGCGGTTGGACGACTTCAAGCCCTTGTTCACGATACCAAGGGTGCCCATCAAGATTGGCCAGAGCAAGTGCATCAGGTTTGAAAGCACCGCAGGTAAGGACAAATCTGAGTGCACCATATTTCTCCTGCTGGGAAATGAAGAACCTATAGCTTTTCACTGAATGGGCACAGGCAGGCATAGTGGGATGGTCTAAGACCATGATTGAGAAACAGAGGGTACCAGGTTCAAGTCCTGCTTGGAAACGGAAGGATTTTTTTCCAGCCGTGGTGCGACCCACAGTTAATTGGGAACTCGTGGCCTGGCACGAGGAAAACATGGATGCAGTGAATGGGATTTTCGGTCTTTGACCACATGCTGGTGAGCTGATCTACTCGCCTCCCACCGCTTTAGGAGCTGCATCTGCGCCTTGATCCTTGAAGGGTGGTGGCGTTCCTACGGATGCGGAAAACTCGGCCTCCATATAGAGCAACCGAGCAACCTGATCGAAAATTAATTTGGTGATGATTAATTATTTGGAAAATTAACTTGTTCTTCACTAGTTTGAGGGAAAGACACGAAAGGGAAAAGTCTGGAAAAAATTGACTGTCACCACCAGGACTCGAACCAGGGACCCTCGCTTGTAGCTAGCGATGCTCTAACCACTGAGCTATGGTGTAGTCGTCATCCCAGCAGAGACTATTCAACATTTTCTTCAAACTTCGTAACTCAAACTTCCTGTGAATCCACACAGACGAGTGGGACGCAGCCCTCACTGTACCCACACACTTCAAGTACACTCTAGCACGCGGGAGCCCCAAGCCATAATATCTTCACTTGTTTGAGGGAAAGACACAAAATTAATTTGGAAAATTAATTTGGTGATGATTAATTATTTGGAAAATTAATTTGGTGACGATTAATTATTTGGAAAATTAATTTGGTGACGATTAAGAGAGCATGTCTGAGAATACCAAAGTATGTGTGCAAGTGGATCTCTCCGATTTCGCTCAAAATTTGCAGGTAGGTTCCCTTTGGGGTTTGGATCGATTGTGCAAAGCCCTTGAAAAAGTTTCTGAAGGGAACCTTGAAATTTGCATACCCCTCAAAAATGGCCGAAATATCACATTATTTATGGGTCTAGAAACGAGTCACGCCACAGCGTATACGAACAAGCTATGAACAAAACTCCATCAAGCCAACATTGCCTCACCTTAGAAGAGTTCCTGGAGCAGTACCGCTTAGCCACGCCAGCATCTCAGAAGACGAGGTCCATCACCCCCTGACGCCACAAATGATCGTCTTGAAAATAGCCAATTTACAAGCGCTGGCAAAACAGCCAGCTACGTCCTCAATTGGCCAGAACTCCACACTGGCAGATAGTAGAACACCTCTTCTAGCGCTGAGGACATGTCCCCCATCTTCCTTTTGGGGTTTTCTTGAAATAAACTTTTTTGAATTTTTCCACTCGACCATGCTGAAATACGGCCAAAGTCATACCTGCGCAGGAAAGCTCGCCCCTCCGCAACGTCTCCTCAGCAATTTCTACTCCAACACTACTCCCAAGGCCGCAGAACAAAGTGTAGTGTTGACTCTGACAAGGAAAAGCAGCGGTGAGCACTTGTCACTCCAAACGACAAGCTTCTCCTTGCGCCACCAATATTTTTTTGTGCGACTGTTGATGCAAAAGTGACTGAAGGCCTGAGCGCAGTTTTTGAATTATTTTGGAAAATAAATTTTGTGACGATTAATTATTCGGAAAATTAATTTGGTGATGATAAATTATTAATTTGGAAAATTAATTTGGTGACGATTAATTATTCGGAAAATTAATTTGGCGACGATTAATTATTTGGAAAAGTAATTTGGTGACGATGGCCACTGATCGAAAATTTGATTGAGACATGAGTACTTTGCAGCGAAGAGACCACTTGATTTGGGAATGGCAGGATATCCATGTGCATCAATATCTTTTTTTTTCAGGCCTCTTTTACGGGCAAATTAACACAATGGTTTAAAATGCAATAAATCATACATGTACACTGTAACGCTGGAGAATAAATCAGAAAAATGGATGTGTAAAATAAAGAGTTTCAAACCCAAACCATCAATATCGCATCAATATCTTTTTTTACCATCGATTTTCTGCGGGACGTTTTTGATTTCGGTACAAATTTTTTCAAGACAATAAGCATATCACATGAATACGATATGTTGGAAGGCAATGACAGCAAACCCATATTTCCCGTACTGCAGAACATTTCACTGCTTGAAAATGACGTAGAAAACATCTGTAGCGCCTCTACGGATTTTTATACAGAAAATGTTCTCCGAAACCTCTCTGATGGCCGCACCAGCCTCCAATACACTGCTAATGTTAACAAATTTGTTTGATTGCTTATTCAAATGTCCAGATCTACATGGCGGCTGGTTGCTGGCCAACAACGCAACGTCTGAGCATGCGCAACCAGTCCAGTATGTGGAGCAAGCAGACGGCGGGACTTCGGGTCCGACGACCCTAACCGTTTACCCCATACCGGGGGTGTCGACCTATGGTTTGTACCAACAGTGTCTGCATATTGATCACATGACCACGTCCCTGGCAGGATGGTACTTCTACCAGTTCAGTGACGCACACACAGCCGCCAGTTCGAGAAACGGCACCATCGCCATATTCGTCGAAGTCGAACAGGACGGACTGAGCACCGGCGAGTTACGGGCACCATACCGCATTGAATTTGGGATTCTGGATGCTGTACTGGTTCTTTGGTTCTGCGCTCTATCCCTTTATCTCTGCCGCAGGGACTTTAAGCCTTGCAAGAACGGCACCTGTCGGCGGAACTTCAGAGTAAGGACCATTGGTGAAGTAGGTTACCGTGTTTCCACAATTATATGTCGCACCCCATTTTCAGGTTTGGTCGACAGTGGTTAGATAATCACTTCAGTAGTAAGTCACGCTCGATTGTAAGTTTTTACCCTTGATTTTTAGTGTAAAGGGTGCGGCTTATATATGGGGAAAATGCGGTAGTTTTAGAAATAAGTGATACTGATATCGAACTCGGACAATGAGCCAGTATTCAATGTAACATAGAAGATGAAACACATGGGAACGAGTTATGAAGCAGCTGTCCACGACTGTAACAAGATAATAGGGAGGTTTCGCCCGACGGAATTACGTATGAAAATGACGTAGGAACTGCACGTAATTTTCATACGTAAAAATCTGCACTGTTGGGTTTCGCTCTACGTGATTTCTCCACGACTGCTAAACATGCCTTGTTGCTTTGGAGACACGTTGGCTGCATGCGCCCACGCGCCCACCGCATGCACCACGCGAACCGAAACCGTGTTTTCCATTTTATTTTACACGTGGTGTACGATGTGCGTACCTTGTGTTTGGCGCGGCTTGAACGTTGCCATGGATAAATCCGGAAAATATCGCAAAAGGTCCTATGGAGGACCCAACGTAGGAAAGAGCTTTCCTACGGAAATCCGTAGAGATTTACGTATGAAAGTTGCCCTCGCTCCCCGGCGCGTACGACATACGGATTTTGATACTTAATTACGTAGAGCGAAACCTCCCTAATAAGCAGTCGGAATGTGCGATAACAGCGCACAAAACTGACAGGCTATGGAGACATTCAGCGACCTAAGACCTAGCTCTAACACATCTCCAGTGTGCAAGCCAACAGCCTTCCAACTTAAAAGGTTCAAGGTTGGGTAGGACCAAAGACGGGAAGGTGAGCGCAGCGGAAATGTGCACAAGCCAAGTCCCACGGCAACAAAGAATGCCGACTGTTACAGTTTGGTCTTACCCAACCTTGAACCTTCCAAGTTGGAAGGTTGGTGGTTTGCAGTTTGCACACTGGAGATGCGTTAGAGCTAGGTCTTAGGTCGCTGAATGTCTGAGCAGCCTGTCAGTTTTTTGCGCTGTTATCGCACATTCTGACTGCTTATTATCTTGTTACAGTCATGGAAAATAGCGTGAGCTCCAGTGTGGGAGCAAACCCATTCCTAAAAAGTCGTGGATAGTTGCTTCATAACTCGTTTCCATATGTTTTCTTCCTCTATTTTACATTGGATACTGATATTGTGTAACAATTACCAACAAAGGTGATCAAGTGGCAGTACAGTGTACTAGTAATCTGACAATGCTAGTAACTAGTGAGAACATAGTTGATGCGATAATGTGCCAGTGAAAAGCAGTGTGCTGCATGACCATGCATGTTGTGAAAGCAATAGACCCACATCTTCCACCCCCATAGTGCGGCATTCATGTCGAAAGCTTGTCTTGTGACACGGTGTTGGCCTAGGGATCTCCTTCAGACTGTCAGGTACAATGGCCACTGCTGCGTGTGTGGTGGTGTGTGTGCGTGCGTGCGTGTGTGCGTGCATGAGTGGTGTGTGTGTGTGTGTGTGTGTGTGTGTGTGTGTGTGGTGGATGGCCAGTTATTCAACCCAGCACGACGAACCCGTGCCTATCAGCAGACCGCTGTTGTTGATGTTGAGTATGCGGACGATGCAAACTTTGTAGTTGGTTCGCGGGAGCATGCTGTGTTGGCCTTGACGGCGTTCCAGGATGTTTCTGCTGAATTTGGCCTCACTGTGAGTATACCCAAGACCAAGTTTATGGTGGCTGGTGTTGGTGTTACTTCAGTTGACACTGCTGGCATTCCGCTTCATGGACAGGTGGTGGAAAATGTTTCCTCCTTCGTTTATCTGGGTTCTGTCATCACTCCGGATGCGCGTTCTGCAGGAGACGTTTCGAGGCGTTTGTCACTCGCCTCGCGTGCCTTTGGATCGCTCCAGGATGTGTTTGCTAATCGTGATCTTTCACTCCATGTGAAGCGCCGATTGTATAACGCCTGTGTGATGACAGTGCTACTGTATGCTTCGGAGTGCTGGTGCCCTTTGCAGGGTGACCTCCGGCGCCTCGATAGTTTCCACCACCAATGCATCCGTAGCATCTTGTGTGTTTCGCGAACACAACAGTGGGAGGAACGCATCACCAATGAGCAGCTCCGAGAGATGTGGGGTGATCCATCGCTATTGTCCTCCCGGCTTCGGAAGCGGAGGCTTGAATGGCTTGGCCATGTGGCCCGCATGTCGGATGTTCGTGTGCCCAAGCAGCTGTTGTTTGGCTTCCTACCGTCGCCTCGGCCTGCGTGTGGTCCCCGTCGTCGCTGGAGGGATGTGATTTCGGCTGATCTTCGGCACATCGGCATTGAACATCTAGCTTGGTATGGGATTGCTCAGGATCGATCTGCCTGGCGGGTGTCTGCCGTTGGGCCGAGCCTCGGCGGTCCTTCCCATGACCAATCTCAACGGGTGGACTGTCTTATCTGCCACCGTTCGTTTCGTCGGCCAGGTGACAAAGCAAGACACAAGTGTACCGCAGAACGAAGTCTCCCCATCCAGGAACAGCGTGGTGCTGTGCAGTGTGGTACATGCAGGAGGTGGTTTCACTCTCGTGGTGGCTTGCGTGTACATCATTGTTTGCCCCTGGAACCATCGGAAGCGTCCGCGCCGGCATCACCTTTTCCGCTCAACGTCCCAGCTTCTCTCTTGTGTGTGACATGCAATCGGCAGTTCAAGTCAGTGCCTGGTTTCAGGCGTCACAAGTGCGACCGTGGCCATCGAGCAACCAAGTCTGATAGAGCGTCGTATGGTGTTCGCTGTTCTCGCTGCAGCCGTCAGTTCCGTCGACAGAGTGACCTGAGTCGTCATCTCCGTTTCTGCTCCTGACAATGACTCTGGCTCCTTTCGGAGTGGTGTGGCCCTTGTGGCAACCAAGCTACAGTAGTAGTAGTAGTAGTGGTGTGTGTGTGTGTGTGAGTGTGCGTGTGTGTGTGCGTGCGTGTGTGGTGTGTATGTGTGTGTGTGTGTGTGCGTGTGTGCGTGCGTGTGTGGTGTGTGTGTGTGTGTGGTGTGTGTGTGTCCCATTGGTGCAGTGGTATGCGCAGCGATGTCCAATCGAGTTGTTGCAGTTTGATTCCCGACGATTATGGTCACACACGTCTTTTCTTCTCTTGATCAAACTCTTCACTGTTATTTCATTCTCCTGGGTGGTTACGAACAGACAGTGCATGCCGGAGTATGTGGTGTGATATGTGTGCGGGGGAAAAATGAAAAAGAAAAGTAGTAGACCAGGCTGAAAAGTGGCTGTCAAATCTTCAACCTTGCAACCTGTTGAATGGTGCAATCCCAGCGCAACTAGCCATGGCTTATGTGATAGCATAGCTATCAACGCCTCCGCCAATGGGCGTCAAAAGGTCAAAAAGGTGTGTGTGTGTGTGTGTGTGTGTGCGTGCGCATGCATGCGTGCATGTGAGTGCAACTGCATGTATGTTTGGTGTCAATGTTGAGCTGCCCTGTGCTAAATTAATACTGTCTTCCCATATCGATCTTCACAGGAAGGAACACCCGAGGAACACCAACGTATCCTAGCTGAGTCCGAAGCCAGCGGCGATCAAGGAACATCAAAACCGCCTGTTGTTACCCCGACAAATAGGCCAGTACGCGGTGGGTCCGATGAAGACACAAACCCAACTAATGCGCACGATAGAAGTGCTGTGGAGCAGCCCAGCGAACCCAACAACATATCAAACAACCAGAGCGGGTCTGATCCAGAAATCTTAGAAGCATTTTCTGAACAGCGAAGCCCATCGACCACCGTTGAAAATTCGAACACCCTCGGAAACGGCGAACCGCCTGGTATTTTCGGCCCAAGACCTGTCAACACTCCACAGTCTGTTCAGGTATCCTCACCAAGTACTGGTGTCCACGCGCGGCAACGTATCACTCTTAGTGCAGCGTTCGAGCCTCCTAATCTTGGCCCTCCTCCCACGTCAAGGTCCTTGGCCAGTTCACTGCACTGACCTGAAATTGCCTTGGAAACATTAATATGATGCTCGTGTCACACTAAATCGCAATTTTTCGAAGAATACTTTTAGTTAGAGATTGCTCTATTTCTGATAATCCAAGTGATATTTTATACCAATTATTCGTATTTCAATGCTGTACCGGATGAAAATCTACCTTTTCTTGGTGGTGATAAAAATTTCATTATTCCGTGACTGGAATTCCGAGCTTATCTGCTTGAGAATTTTGTTGCTTGAAATGAGTCTTCGTTGTTTGTTTCATCTAGATGGAACTGTAATGCTAGTAGCTAGGGAGTTCATTTATTTTCTTCTCTAGTTCATTTATTTTCTTCTCTAGTTCATTTATTTTCTTCTCTAGTTCATTTATTTTCTTCTCTAGTTCATTTATTTTCTTCTCTAGTTCATTTATTTTCTTCTCTAGTTCATTTATTTTCTTCTCTAGTTCATTTATTTTCTTCTCTAGTTCATTTATTTTCTTCTCTAGTTCATTTATTTTCTTCTCTAGTTCATTTATTTTCTTCTCTAGTTCATTTATTTTCTTCTCTAGTTCATTTATTTTCTCCTCTAGTTCATTTATTTTCTTCTCTAGTTCATTTATTTTCTTCTCTAGTTCATTTATTTTCTTCTCTAGTTCATTTATTTTCTTCTCTAGTTCATTTCTTTCTGCTGTTACTACTAAGTGAGGCCGAAGTCGCACTAACCTCTTCTCTACATTGTTGCTAGTACGCATTGACATTTAGCTACTCCTGTCCTTTTCCAACTCTGCTTCATCTCTTCCCCTCTAAACTGCCGCTTGGTTTCTCGCCATAATAGGAGTCTCTCATGATGAGCATCAATTTGCTTTTGAGAATGCATGACACTATATATATACTGGGGTAAAACTCGGATGTTGAGCCAATAGTAAAAAGAAAAAAAGAAAAGGACCTGTAAGTTATGAGCTATAAATCGTAACTTATAGGTCCTTTTCTCTTGACATATACAGGGTACCTCGAAAATGCGCAAGTTACACGGTCTCTTTGCTGCGTCACAAACGAAATAATTCAATAATTATTCGGTCATGGCACACCGCCAGGATGAAAATCAGTCAACTTAAGTCGATAAACAATGATTTGATAAGAACGTATTAAAGAAGAAGAAGAAGAGATTCAGAATTCAAATACATCATTACCATACAATACAATACAAGAAATAGGACTGCAGTAAGAGACGAACATACAAGCATCATCATGCACATACGGACAAGAACGAACGAAGCCAAACCTGATGCATGCAAAGCATTTTGGCCCTCCCTATGATGTTAACGTGAGAGATAAGCTGAGCGTTAATTCCTAGCGTCATCCAGCAAAATGGGCCGATATAGTAAAATAGGACAGAAGGCTAGGACAAACAGACAAAAGGGTGGGACATGCAAAAGCAAGGTGCATTTGAGTCGAGTCCAGCTAGTCCGACCTGAGGTCTCGGAGTCAGCACTGGACGCGCGCACCAGGAAGGAAGGGGTTGGGGCGGATTGAGGGGGAGGGGAGGGGGGGGGGGGGAATGTACAATAATCTAGTACATGTACCAGAACAGCAGCATAAAGTAGAAAATAAAAAAGTTGCTGTGAAATGTTCACCGCCGGGTAAAGCGTGTGTGGTTCGGAGATCTGTCTGGTCACTGATGGAGGAGTTAGCGGCTCCTACGTTCGATTGGTCCTCTCTACTTGGTAGGTGGACTACACTTGCATCTGCTGCAGCTGTAGGACGTGCTGCATGACCGGTCCCATTGCTCCAGTGGCTAGGTGACAGGTCACGGTCACGTGACGCTACTTATAAGGTTGATCCAGGGATGGTGTTGGTTCACCGCTGTGTACACTGCAGACCAATAGAGGAGGCCCAAAGTGGCAGTGGGATTCGCTCAGGTCTGCGTAGAACAAGCAGAAGAGACACAGACACTAACTAACGCTACCACCTAGCGTTCAGGATGTTTCTTATCGCGGGAAACATAGCGCCTTTTTTGATAATTTGGCTGCCTGGTGTTGTTTTGGCAAGGAGAGTGCTATAAGATGTTTCCCTCAAAAACAATTTTTCTCAGTCTACACATAATCAAGGCCCATTGATGAGGGTAGAATTCTCCTAAACAATGTGTACTGAGCAGAGAGTGCCATCTTGCAGCGAAGCCGAGCCAAAGGTTTGATGGCTTCTCATGTGTTCTGGATGGCAGTCGTGAGTCAGTCCAGTAAACTCAATTTGCCAGCAAAAGCGCTCCCAAGTTTTCGGAGCAACCAACTTCATCAATTAGTATTGCCGACGTTACTACCGCTATTTCGAAGCATTTCGAAGTATACAATACGTTTGATTGTATAGACAGCCCAAGAATAGGGCTTGAAAGTCCTATGTTAACACCAAGCAGAGTTATAACAACACCGGGCTTTGACTCCAATTTTACCGGTGCTGGTACTTTTTCATCTGATCAGTATTGTGCTGATCAAGATCCAAATTGATTACTTTAGAACCAGAGACGTGCGCCGGTGCCCTTCCGGGGGGGGGGGGGTTGCGGGGGCATTCCCGTGAAAAGTTTCAAAAAATGAAGCAAAATCCTGCATTTTGAGCGAAAAAGAGGGGGGGGGGGGTTCCAGGCATCCAGGAGCCCATACGGGGCACGCGCCTGAGAACTAACCAACTTCGTCAACAGTCCTTACTTGCTTTGGCGTGCACTTCTTCCACCAAGTACAATCCTTGTGGCAAAGATACACAGTAAGCACACAGCCCCAAATAACCAGTCCAGCATCCAGAATCCCCAGTTCAATGCGGTATGGTGCCCGTAACTCAGCGGTGCTCAGTCCGTCCTGTTCCACTTCGACGAATATGGCGATGGTGCCGTTTCTCGAACTGGCGGCCGTGTGTGCGTCGCTGAACTGGTAGAAGTACCATCCTGCCAGGGACGTGGTCATGTGATCGATGTGCAAACACTGTTGGTACGAACCATAGGTCGACACCCCCGGTATGGGGTAAACGGTTAGGGTCGTCGGACCCGAAACGCCGGCATCTGCTTGCTCCACATACTGGACTGGTTGCGCATGCTCAGACGTTGCGTTGTTGGCCAGCAACCAGCCGCCATGCAGATCTGGACATTGTTAATGAGCAATAAAAGAAATTTGTTAATTAACATTTACAGTTTATTGTGAACTGGTCCGGACATTAGAGATATCCCGGGACACACTTTTCCTTACCATAATCCGTAGAAGCTCTATGGATGTTTAAATACAATGTACATCCTTTTGGAGTATTGAAATTTTCCGGAGTACGGAAAATACATATACATGTATGTGGATTATGATTGGAAACGCATCACATTTAGTGCATTATGACTTTCTATTTTGAACATTTGTACCGAAAAACAACTTTTATAGGCCATTGACACGACGTGCAAACTCACTTTCATCGTACCGTTTCCAAGGATATTTACTCGGATACGATAAACTTGGACACACGCGTACAACTTATTGTTTTATCTTGGCGTAGGCCCTTTCGCGCGTGCGCGCGCGTGTGTGTCAGTTGTTGAAAGTGCGTACTGCAAATGCAGTGCTTGAACAAAGGAAAATTCAAAATTTAAAAGTTCCCGGCATTTTGAGGAAGCCACTATGGATACATTGACGTGTGCAAAGTTTTCCCAGCGACGTGTGAACTGGATCACGGTTTTCCAGTGTTATCTTGGTCATACGCGTGCAAATGTTTCCACGTCGTGTGAATGGCCTATTAGCGGAAAATTGCTGTTTGTCTTACCAAAATATGTACCCGAAAAACCTTTCTGCACCCGGTGCCAAAATACCTTCATACGAAACATGCTTCGTATGAAATCCATACCACACGGTTTTTCCGTGCCCACAAATCCCCAGAACACCTCTGATACCGTTCAAAAAAAATACCGGTACTGATGCACATGGATACACTGTGATCTCCCCCCCCCCCCCCCCCCCCCCACACACACACACTCCCTAATCCACAAAGAGGTTATGCCCTGACATCATCATCAGTTGAGATGTCCTGCCAAAACCACGCAACGGTGATACACTAGCGAATCCCTAGCGACTTGAGCTGCATACATCTCACTCATAAGCTGTTCCGCTTACCTACCACCGAGCCATCAGTCGCATAACCTCTGTATACTTTCAGTATACAGTATTGATCTAACACTATACCATAGGAACGGGAGATGTCAAGGCCGTATGAACCTCTGAATTGCTTATTGTATTAGCTTCTGAACACTGTTCCAGGGTCCCAAAGTACATGTGTGTTGATTCATGTACTTCCAAGCATTGTCGTCTTGGCAGCCTTGTAAACACAGCTCGTCTCACATTTCATCAGTTGGCGTGAAATGATAATTTTTTTGTGAAAATGATGAAATCCCATCCGGGTGTGCGGGTCTTAGTGATGGGTCGTCGCAGCTGCTACAGCATACAGCATCGCTCAATAGAATCTGATGGCTTGAGACAAGTTTCCGGCTTGCAGCAGCAATAGCTCGAAAGCCAGTGTTCGCAGGTCTACAACTACACAGCGCCAGGTGTGATACAGTCACTCGATCGGATTTTATAGAGCGCCACTGTAGCAGGCTTACCAACATTATTCTACACTGGATTGTATCTGACACCCTCTCTTCATTTGATTATTTGGTTTCAGTGACAGAATTACAAATTCTTTGCTATTGCAGTAGGAGAAATTATGGTGTACACCGATTTGTCCTTACCGGTGGTGCTTTCAAACCTGATGCACTTGCTCTGGCCAATCTTGATGGGCACCCTTGGTATCGTGAACATGGGCTTGAAGTCGTCCAACTGCTGCGGTGGGTAGACGTCAGCGTACGTGAGCGTTCTGCACTGGCTATTTTCACCAAAGCACACACCACACGTCCACTGGACACTCTCTATCTGAAACTGGTGCACGGCCGGCTCAGCGCCCGGGGCAGCTCCGTCAGCTGGCTGCACGACGAACTGCCAGTTACCTTTGAAGATGTCCTTCATCCTGGAGAAGAACATGTTAACCATACACTTGTCAAGGTAGGGGTCCGCGATTGCTGGCAGCCTCGGCGACTTGCACCAAGGCTCCGAAGCGTTGCCCAGTTGTGGTTTGCGGTATTGAAACTCGTCTTGATGCTGCGAGATGTTCAGACGCGTACCGTTTCCCAACATCTGAACGAAAGAAGAAACAGGTAAAAAAAACAGATGCAGAGCGCTTCGTTGGACAGACGAAATCCCATTCCGAAAATGCAAAGCTGCCCCCCCCCCCCCCCCCCACACACCCAGAGCAGTTCCGATTACGTCACTGCCCTTCTGCACGTATAGGTCCAGCAAGATTCGCCCGAATCAAAGAATTCTGGTGGCGTCACTGGCGTGCAAGTCCAGGGAACAAAAATAATACGTTGGCTCGGATTTTCTTGAATATAACTGTACACGTGTAGGGACACACTGTACTTGCCTTGTACATGCCGATACGATTGCTGAGTACGTCCGTAGAGCAGTTTGAGCTAGGAAACTTGACATCAGCCAGTGAGAAAAAGAACTCCAAGTCATACGCTCCAACCGGTACGCGAACAACGCAGAGCTTTTGACTTTGAGGCTTGACTAAAATGTCTGCAGCAAGATGTAATGTAGATTATACATCATTAGCGCCAAATTCTACTATCTCATTTGACATTGAACCTTTTGCATCGTTTTCTAGGCAATGGCGAAAGAATGTATTCATGCACTAAGAAACCAAGAAGAACAGAAGTGCAGACAACTACGCCATGCTGGGCTAGGTCAGTGTGAATCACTTGTAGACAAGTAAACAGCGTAATAAATATAAACAGTTACTTGGGCGAAAGCCATGCCACGTCCAAAACTTTACCGGGTGTTTGGAAAAGCCTTGGATCCATCCAGCAGCGAGGGCCAGCACACGTATTCTTGGTGTCGTAGCGGTATCTGTACCTGCAGTTTACGTCATGGATGACGACAAACTGGTCCGAGCTCAGTGCATCACAAACTACAGCCACTAGCAATGCCAACAGAAGCAATTCTGGGCAACGTGTTCGTAAAGTCGTTCTTCCTTCGCTCATACTCATTGTCACAAGCCGTCAAATCTGTCAACACACAAGTTACACCAACTGCATGACTGTATAAAGTAAAAAATCCAACATTTTCATGCTTTCAAAAAAGCAATATTTTTTCGTTTCCTGCCCTTCCAACTGTACTGCACACCTAATCAGGCGTGGGTCAATGAAGGGCAACTATTACTATTATTCCAAGCGCTTATTCAGCCCAAGTTTCCATTGTGCTTACTCAACATTATAGTGTACAGTGTTTGTCGTAGTGTTGCCTCCCAACAAGCCGTTTCTCTCTCTCTCTCTCTCTCTCTCTCTCTCTCTCTCTCTCTCTCTCTCTCTCTCTCTCTCTCTCTCTCTTGTCGATACCATTATAATTATGCGCTTGCTCGATATAGGTAAATCAGTCCTGGTCTTTTCCCGCAATGGATTCCTGCGCGGCTTTCTGGCCGAACACAACAGTTTTTGTGCTGCATGTGCTCAGAAGGGTCCCAAAATATTCACTACACTCCTTATCGGCTACCCAATGGAATCGGTAGGTCTGTAGATCACGGATACACACCTCGAACCAGCGCTTGTACTGGAGGCTGCGCTTATATTAAATTTTGTCAACCAGCAACTCCATACAGAGCAAGTAGAAGGAGCCATACTGAATTCCGCGTAGACCGTGCTAATAATGGAGAATGTGCTTACAATGTTTCGAAAGGCGCTCACAGTGTGCTAGTATTAGAGACTGCGCTAGTAATAGAGATCTGTGCTGATAGTCGAGGAAATGCAGTATTTTCAACCACTCGTCACCACTGCCATGGCAGCTGAGCTCACCCCGGGGACAACCTGCAGGTCTGAAAGCATGTTTCCAACGCAAATTCTGCAAAACCCGTTTTCGCTCCTTTGGATTTTCAAAGCTCCCCGGAAGATGTACCCAGTGTGCCATGGTGTGCTGACAGTGCTCAACATCCCGCAGGCAGAGCGTAATACAAAACAACAAGGACAATCATAAGAGTTGCCTGATGATTGCGAGAGCATGAAACTTGAAGTACAGTAGCAGCAAACAAGCCTTGATTTCTTTGTTGTTTTTGTGATTTTCAAAGCTCATCATTCTCCTTGAGCTTACCTCTGAATGTTGCTCGTACGACAATGGCACGTGGGTACTCTCAGAGAGTGCGGTCACACACGGATTGCAGGAGATGTGAAACCTGCTTTCGCCAAAGCCCAACAAGGACGACCAGATCAACCAAGGAGTAGAAAGACGTGCTCCTGCTGGACAACATCTTTTGCAAATCAATGGCCCTTCACTAAAAGGTTCAAGTCGCGCCTCCAACGAGTGATCGAGTCTACGGTCCGCGTCATGATTTCTGATTTTCATACGCGTGAGCCAGTATGTGCTTGCAGAATGCATCAGAATGCTAGTTGAGTGCAATAAATCAATATGACCGGCGTATGTCAAGATCATTGCACGAAACGGCCGAAAGTACTCGCATTCCGCTTGATTCATGGCTGCGGCGTGATACGATTATCCTTGACGGGTGCGCAGTTCTTGCAGCCATTTGAAACATTTTGATATCTTAGCCAATGCACTTGACGCGGATTTTGACAAGTGGATGCGTAGCACGCGCACTACACGTGACAGAGGTAGGGTTGCAGGCTATATTGGCCGCCGGCTCGAGCCGGGCGGGGGATGGGTAGAGTAAAGTAAACTATGGTGTCCGGACCAGAAGGGAACTCACGACAGCCGCTAACACCAGGTAAACCCTAGCGGCACATGCAGCGCCTAGCTTTGGGGGTTGAGGGTATAAATCTCACAACAACTGGCACAAGTGCCGAGAAATCCTATTATCCACATGCATGTACCCCTTGTGCGCGGTGAGGATGGGTATACCGGTAGGTTGTGAAAATTACGTGTTTTTTCGTTGAGGTCTGCTGGAGGGATTATCTTCCCGCCCTCGCTACTACTTGTACAGTCACACATTCACCCCTTCCACTTCTGTAAAAGCTCAAAATCCGCACCTTCCCTGCGAAGGGCTACCCTCACATGGGTCAAGTCCCACTGTTTACATGTACATGTACATGTATGGCACATGTGGCCGGATGGTTGGATTGTGCATGGAACTCGGAGTTGCGACACAGTCTGTAGTACTCCGTCGTGCATTTCGTGTGTGTCATTGTTGTATTGTGCAAAACAAATCTACACTTTCGCTGTCTTGACATGCCACGAGGTGCAGAAATAAATAAATAAATAAATAAAATAATATCTCCACTCACCCAAGTCACCCACTCACCCAAGTCACCATGAGCACGACCATCATGGTCCGTTTATTTCTGCTTTGAATCGATAGCCACTAACCAACACTAAACTCTGCTATAGTATATGCAGTCATGTTCATGCACTGGTCAAATCCCACGGTGTAATTGTACATGTATCTCACATGTGGCCGGATGGTTGGATTTTGCATGGAACTCGGAGTTGCGGCACACTCTGTAGTACGCCGTCGTGCCTTTCGCGTAGTAGTAGTAGTAGTAGTAGATTTTAGTATTTTACTAGGGAATTCCCAACAGGTGTTGTCTTTTTACTGTGAACCCTACGTGTGTCACTGTTGTTTTGTGCATACATGCTTAAACCAAACTATTAAAAAAATTAATGTATTCACTGGTTTGAGGAAAGACGCAAAATTAATGGTAAAAGCTTTCTTCGAAAAATTATTATTATTTTGTAAAAAGGACTTTGCTTACACCCCCCCCCCCCCCCCCTCTCTCTTCTGATTATGACTTGCTCCAGCTATAGTAGCAGGAAGAAGTGCTCTTTTGCCGGTCTGCCGAATTGAAGGTTTTATGGGCTTATCCACCGTAAGTTCTCTTGATTTGTGGATGGCAGTCATGACTCGTGAGTGAGTCGAGTGTCAAGTTCATTAAATCAGCGCTAAATCGCGAGCTCCAATGTGGAAAGCAATGTGGAAAGCAAACAAGCTTTCCTTTAATCATACAAAAGTCATGCAGATGTATTGACCAAAAGTAAAATAATGGAACTCAGACGGTGAGCCAAGGAAATAACCGTAGCATGGCACAATGCGGGCACAAGTTACCCCCCCCCCCCCCGCCCCGCCGATCGAGTCCACCAACTGAACCAGATTTTGAGCAGTCAGACGTGCACATTCTAGCACAAAACGGAAGAGGAGTCCTGGGTAGGGACCGGCGGATTCTGCTCGAAAAGGTGGCAGATTCTGCTCGAAAAGCAGTGAAATTCGTAGAACCATACAAACCTCATGGCGGGCAATTCCCCGAATTCTGCCCCATTTCTTTATCCACATGCCAAACATGCATGAACCTTACCAGAAAAAGTACCGATTTCTGCCAATTTTTCTGCCGGCAGAATCCGCCGGACCCTAGTCCTGAGCCATTCCACGACATCAAAGTCAGCTTGAGTACTGCTAGATAGCGCTAACCAACGGCCTTCTAACGGCCTTCCAACTTGAAAGGTTCATGGGCATTAGTGCTGATTCCAAAGAGGGGAAGCTCAATTTACGCCGTCGAGCCGAGCACAAGCTATTGTACATGCCAAGGCTTCATGGCCTGCTGGTCTGCTACGAAAACCGGACAGCAAGACCAGACAGAACAGTCAAATCACAATTCGACAACGCAAAGCAACAAGCACCCGACTTTGGAAGCTCAATATTATCAGGCCTGAAAATCGCGAAAGGGAACTTGGCGAGGACGAATTCTCCCAAACCGAACGCCGATGTCCCGCAGCACTGTGCTTCGTTGTCTCAGTAGTCCTTATGAGGTTTGGGCTAGATTGTGCACGTCTGACTGTAGCTGGCGTGACGTCAGTTAGAACCGTTTTGTAACGCAGCCATGACAGGTATGTCGGTAGGACACGATACTGTGCAGTGACAAACAGATTGGATGATGGATTGAAAATCCAGTTCCAAGGCGCTGGACCCGAAGTATTTGGCATTAACGTGGAAAGCTTACCTTGAATACGGGATGACTCCGGATGAGAAAAAATGAAGTAACGTTTTACTTCAGGTTCAGTCCACGTTCTCACTTATTTCATATCATGCTGTCAACTGCGTCACGAGTTACGCGCCACGCATAGAACTGCATGATGATAGTTTCAGGTATCTTCCACATACTTGTGCAGTTATTTACATGCAATCTAAATACTGTCATGTAATATACTCAAGGCATGCAGAGTGTGGTAACACATTGACAGCCCCGTTTGTGGCAAACAATGCCTGGAGCTTGTGTTCGTTGTCATTGACAGGTCTAACTTACCAGCTTCCGTCACGGTACAATGAATGAACATGCTCACCACCCCTGCTCAAGTTACTCCCCAGTATAGCCTATCGACACACCCGCACTTGGCACCTCCCACCCACCAGAACCGGCCGTAAAGATTACCCACTGTACAAGTCCCTAGAATACTACAATGCTCTCCCTGCCATCCTTCGGGATGTTCCCTCCCGACTTTTTTTCGGCATCTTTTACGGGCAAATTAACACAATGGTTTTAAAATTTAAATGCAATAAATCATACACTGGAGAAAAAATTATAATAATGGATGTGTAAAATAAAGAATTTCAAATCCAAACCAAGAAAAACTTCAAATCAATACTTTTTCTCCTCCCGACCTGCTTTAAAACAAGAAACCTACTCACTGCTCAATCTGCTCCTGCAGCGCTCACCGCCCCCCCCCATACTTGTAAAATTCAAAGTGGTTTTCCAACTGCATAACCCGCAGCCGCACTCACATCATCTCACCTTCTCATACACTTCTCTCTTAGTAGCGATGGTGCCATCGTGAGAATAAAGCATTCAAACAAATTTAAGGATTCCAGAACGTTTTCGTGTCACAATTATCAATGGAATTCGTAACTAAGAGGAATGATGAAACTACAACAGGATTCATACACTTGGAAAGACAAATAACACAGATGGCACCAACGGATAATAAAAACTAGAAATGATAAGACAGTCAGCAAGTGCGGTGTGACAATGTACATGCATGAGCACGTGTGTGTGAATGCGAATTTACTGGAATAGTGTATGGACGGTGAAATTTTCTTTTTGTTTGCAAAGATTAGGATCACGAATACGAATGTAGACTGCTTCAAGAACTTTCAACTGCTTGAAACTACTTGCAGAACGAACAGTATTGAACCAGGAATCATCATAACCTTTACGAAACTCTTCCAGTACTCGGGGTAATTTTGGGCAATGCAATGAAGTTTACAGATCATGCAATTCATGCTCTCGCCAAAGTGAATCTTGAAATTGTAGCCCCCGTCCGTCATTCCGCCAATTATGGAGCACGAACGCCTTATGCACTAGCTGTGGTGCCGCATGGTCTTGAGTTTTGTTTGGCAGCATTTTTCACTGAACTGTCATCACAGGATTTGCAGCGGCTCCATGCAGCAAAGAGGACACTTATGAGGACTGACTGTTGAAGAATGCGTTGCAATCAAAATATGTACAACTGGCAAATACTGTTGAATGTTTCGGAGGTCATCGGTAGAGCATTTGAGCTCCCTTTGCAATTTGAGGTAGTGTCACAAATTGTTATCTTGAGAAAGTTACTAGCCCTTAGTGCCACCTGATAGTTGTCGCACCAGACTCTCCCTATATTCTTCATTCGGTCTATGACATACTCATCTTATGTCCGATCACGCGATCCTTTTGTCATCATAATTTTTGTTGGCTCAGGTGTCCAGTTGTTGCTTGTGCCTTTTGACAAGTGAATCTTGCGGTATTTTCTAATGAATAGAATCGGAGGCAGTGCCGCACAGCCACAATTTTTGCCCTTCGAAAATTGATGGATAACGTACATGTATCCCTTCATTTTTTTATAGATATTCAAACCCTGATAGGTTGTTTAAAAGAAAGGAGAATTCTGCAGGCAATATTCAGACAGGTGGCCTTCTGTTCATTCGTTTTTTGTTTAGGTTCTACTACGTGTGGTCTTGTCGAGATGAAGTGAAGATTTGTCACCGCTACGGTTGCCAACTACTTCCCAGCCTGAAGAGGATCACCACCCGGAATCAAACGAAGCACCTTAGCTAGGGTCCAGCGGATATTGCCGGCATTATATTCGGCATTATAAGCCTATCCGAGCATTAGAGCATTATGGAGCATTAGGAAGGAACAAGACGAGCATTGTGTGAGGTTTGAGCGGCATAACGAGTTTTATAGTGGATAATGTCGGGAAAGCTCATGGTTTTTGGCAACAATCGGCTAAAGCCATGACTGCATGAGGTGCAACGCC